GCCGGAGGGCTGAAGGCCGATGGCCTATGTGATGTCCTCACGCTGAGGCCGAGGGCCGTTGTTGATGTTGAGGCCGAGGGCCATTCTGATGCTGAGGTCGAGGGCCGTTGTTGATGTTGAGGCCGAGGGCCGTTCTGATGTTGAGACCGAGGGCCGTTGTGATGTGGAATCACGCTGAGGCCGAGGGCCGTTGTTGATGTTAAATCACGTTGAGGCCGAGGGCCGTTCTGATGCTGAGGTCGAGGGTCATTGTTGATGTTGATGTCGAGGGCCGTTCTGATTTTGAGGCCGAGGGCCGTTGTGATGTGGAATCACGCTGAGGCCAAGGGCCGTTGTTGATGTTGAATCACGTTGAGGCCGAGGGCCTTTGGTGCTGTGAAATCATGTAAGGCAAAAACCGTTATGACATAGAGTCATGTTGAGGCCGAGGGCCGTCTGATGTTGAGGCCGAGGGCCGTTGTTGATGTTGAGGCTGAGGGCCGTTCTGATGTTGAGGCCGAGGGCCGTTGTTGATTTTGAGACCGAGGGCCGTTCTGATGTTGAGGCCGAGGGCCGTTGTGATGTTGAGGCCGAGGGCCATTCTGATGTTGAGGCCGAGGGCCGTTGGTGACGTGGAATCATGCCAAGGCCGAGGGCCATTGGTGATGTAGGATCGAATTAAGGCCAAGGGTCTTTCTATGATAGTTCCAGGAGTCCTCTGGGTGTATGTTCCTTCTTTCAGGCATCGACCGAGGGGTTGATTCCCCGCCTCGGCCGAAAGGGGTCCAAGTGATCCATCTGGGGGTTCGTCTGTTAGTCCCCCGGCGCTGGGCCGTCCCTTGATTGTGACAGGAGGTCGTATGTTAGTCCTCCTGATGTGTGTTCCTTCTTCCAGGCTTCGGCCGAGGGGGTTGCTTCCCCGCCTTGACCGGAAGGGGGTCCAAGTGATCCGTCCGGGGGTTCGTCTGTTAGTCCCCCGGCGCTGAACCGTCCCTTGACCTTGGGGGGTCCCGTCGTCTATTTACGGCGCGGGCTAGGCTTGGTCGGTTTCCGACGAATGCTGTTTCACCCCCAAGTTTGGGGATTTCGTCACCTCAGCCATTCTTTCAGGCCTGTCGCCGTGCGTTGCGCGCCGGCGACGCGACGAGCGTCCTGCTCCAAAAACGCGGGCCTTTTGCAGACCACTCGTCATTAGACACCATCGGCCATACCTGGGCATTTGGCCTCGAAGGGGCCGATAAGATGTCTGGATTGTGTTGTAGTTTACTTAAATTCATAGAAATAAGCGGAATACAAGGGGTGTGTTGTTTGACAATGGCTTTGTTAAGATTCACCGCTCAAGGCCGAGGGCTCTAGGCCGAGGGGATGATAATGTGCCTCGAGGTCGAGGGCCCAATGCTGATACTAACGCCGAAGGCGAGGAACATGATTAGCGGATAGTGGCGCTTCTTCGGCTGGGGCTCCTCGAACTCCTCGCCGTCGCTGAGCCTCCCGATTTCATGTTTCTTCGTAGCGATGTCGCCTTCTTCTTTATCGGTGTTCTCCCCGGTGTTTTTCCTTGGGGCATTTTTGATGAATTGGTGGAGCTCACCCCGTTGAATTAAGAGTTCAATAGCCTTCTTTAACGAGACACAATCGTCTGTATTGTGGGAGGTGCTTTTGTGGTAACGGCAATAAGTGCCGCCTTGGTGGATGGCGTAGATCTCCCTCACCGACCGAGGGTCCTTGGGGAAAAGGTCCTGCTCTTCCGCATAGTTGAGAATAGTGCTCACCGGGTGCGTGAGGGGAGTCCTCGGCATGTCCAGCCGAGGGCGCCATTGACGTTCGTTACGACCCTACTGGGTGTGGCTTCCATGGTCTCGGCCTCCGGCCGAGGGTGCATTTGGGGCCGGCGTGTTGTTTGTCTTCTTCGAGGGATGGCCCTCGTTCTTCTTGAAGGAGTGGAGGTCGTCAGCGTCGGCGTATAGGCTCCTCCGCTGGAGTGCTCTGACGTATGATCTTGGGGGGTCGGTGATGAGGCTCCGTGCGTAGGGGCTGCTGCGGAGAACCCCCTGGAAGAGGACGAGGAGGGTACGCTCGTCGGCGCCCTCGACCTCGTCTGTTTCCTTCATCCACCGGTCAATGAAGGACCGCAGTGTTTCGTCAGGCTGTTCCTTGACGGAGAGGAGGTGGGAGAAGTGCATTCTCGCGCGCTTCCTTCCGGCAAAATGGGTGAGGAAGCGTTGGGCAAGATCTTGCCAAGAGTCAATGCTGCCCTCGGGCAATCGGTTGAACCATTCGTATGCTGGTCCCTCCAAGGTGGAAAGGAACCAACGACATAAGTATTCATCTGATGCCCCCATCATCATCATGTTGTTTTGATACCTGTTGTAGTGCTCCTGGGGGTCAGTTTTTCCTTCACAGGGCTTGATGAGTTGCCCTAGGTACTTTTCCGGGATTTGGACCGCCAATACCCTTGGGGTAAATGGCGTCCTAGTTCGGAGTTGGATGACGGGTTCCCCAGAGCCTTCGGCAAATTTCCTTTGCATCTCCTCCTTTTTGGCCAGGATGGCCTCATATTTAGAATCTGCATGAGGGGCGGCAACGGCGGTATGTGCTTGACGGGCCTCCATTTCATCAAGCCGGTGCTGGAGGGCCGCAATAATTTCATCCCTGGTGTCCTTCGGGAGGGCCTCCGCCCCCTGCGAATGGCCATGGGCCGAGCAGGCCTGGTTGATTTGATGTCGGGTGCCGTCGGCATGGAGGTGTGCTTTGCCTTTATCCCGAAGGGGAAGCTTCTCATCTGCCCTGGAGATGGATCCGCCACTTTCCTGAGGTCTTTGGAGCACCTTTCCGCCGAGGCGGTCTTGGACCCCTCGGCGGTCTAGCGCCCCTCCGAGTCTCTCGAGGGCGGAGGTCCGGGGCCTTTCTTTGTTTGTGCCGTGGCGATCCCGGGATTGGACTTCCTGAGAGGTGGTGTCCTGGGCCACAACCCTCTCGTTGTTCCCTAACCGAAGGATAGGGTTCACGAAGGGGAGCGGAGGAGGGGGGAGAATGGCGTTCTCCCCGACCTGCGGCTGATGAAGGGGTACCAGCGTGCCGAAGGCACCTGGGTTTTGAGTGAGAGTTTGGATGAAGGCGGAGAATGCTGATTGTACGTCAATGGTGAGAACCGGAGGGCTCATTTGGTTTTCGCTCCGGTCCTTCTTTTTGGCCTCGATGCCAAGGCGGGGATCGGGGGCATTATGTTGGAGCTGAAGGCGCAGGTCGACAGCCGTTTGTTCCAACCCAGTGAGGGCGCCGCCCCCGGGAGCCATGTTAGAGGCTTCGAGGGCGTCGACGTCGCCGAGGGCTAGGTTCTTGTCCTCATGAGTGTTGGATTGGGCACGAGTGTTTCTTCCCATTTTGATAGGTGTTTTTAGCTGAAGGGGAGGGTTTCTTACTTGATTGTTCGGACTCTCAATGAAAGCACCAAATGATGGATAGTGTACCCGTGGGGTAGCTTATCCGAGGGGTTATTGCAGAGAATAACTAGAGAGAAGTCAGAGCAAATAAGTAAGAGAGATAGTGTATATTCGATATGTATTAAGCGTGGTTTACCATGGGGGAAATGGGTGCTATTTATAGTAGTAATAAATGCTAGATAAGGACACGTGTCAGTTTTCTGGTGGTCGATGGGTCACCTCGACCGGGGTGGCACTGGCACTCGCATGTGGCCGCATTAAATGCGGTGGTTGAATGTGACGTTTGTACTTGGTATGGTGATCCAGGTGCATGTGAAGAGGATATTCTTTCGAGGTGGATGCCTTCGGCTGAAGGGTGATGGGCCGAAGGCTCTTCTAACCGAGGGCTCCTACCTGCCGAGGGCTGCAGGTGCCGAAGGCTTGGTTTTCAAGCCTTGTTCTCCTGTGATGCCTCTTCTAACCGAGGGCTCCTACCCGTCGAGGGCTGCAGTTGCCGAAGGCTTGGTTTTCAAGCCTTGTTCTCCTGTGATGTTTCTGAGCTCGATTCCGTCATTGGTAGCCTTCGGCCATAGGGCCGAAGGCACCCCTTTGCGTATTGTGGACTGCTTAGAGCTCCATTTTGTTGGGCTTGGCCCATTTGGGCCTGTTGGGCCTGATTGTAGTAGAGGAAGTATGTGGGTCGGGGGTCCCTGGGTCATATACTCCATCACTCATCTCAATAGCATCAAAATTTAATTCATTGGAATTAGTATGAGAAAAGTAGTTCAATTATTTTACAAAGAGTATATAATTCTATTTTTTTTATTCATGTTTACATCTAATTTTTAGATGTAATATTTGTAGCATTTGTTCTATGTGAAAACCAACATCCTTGAAATGGAATGTAATTAAAACATGTAACCTCTTCTTTGAGAGTGTTAAAGTGATGCCATCAGACCACATGACACTTGACAAATGACAACCCCTAAAATTAGTTTTAAATTTGAGATGTTTTTTCTATTTGACTGAAAAAATTTCTTATTCTTGTAATATTTATTATTTTTTGACATTTTTCGCAACAAATGCTATTTTATATCTGAAAATAAATTTAGTTAAATACATACTCCGTATTACTTTACTTTACTACGTAGAACATTTTAGCATGTTTTTGCAATATACTCCCTCCGTATCTAATTAGATGACATGTTTGCTTTTCACGGAGTTTAAGACAATTACTGTAGACTTTATAAAAAGTAAGAGATTTTTGGTACTGTAGCGGCACTGTAGCGGTACTGTGGTGGTACTATAGCTAGTTTTTGAGTGTGATTCTTTCCAAAAAAGAAAAGGAGATAATAAATTTGATATACCAAAAAAGGAAAGTGTAACAAGTAAATAGATATGGAGGGACTACTCTATTTATGGACCGTTTTTTTTTTGAGGAAATGATAGTGGATTAATAAATGTCCTTCTAAAAAAAGAACCATATTACTATTTGTCCGGATTTATTACAATTATTACTCCGTATTATTATTTCAAAATTAGAGAGATGAGGTTTGATGACCCACGTTCTCATCGGACCACAAGTTCCATGCACCATTCTGACAATCACACACGTTCAAACCAACCTACAATTACTCTTTTTTTTTGGGAAGGAAACTACAATTACTCTACCCAGTACCCACTACTTCCTCAACTCCTCTTTTCCACCAGAAAGTAGTGCAAAAATAATTTGACGGAAAAAAGAAAGGTGAAAAAGAATAACTGTGAAACTTCAAGCTTGCGACTTTCTTTCTCCTTTCTTCCTCATCTAATTAGATTTGCTTTAATCTAGCAATAGTTCCAACAAATGAATGTCGAAAATTTTGGGTCCTTGTCCTGCGGTACCCCACCACGTCATCATCATCATCAAGCTCTTTGTACTAAGTTCCAAGTTCAATTCTTTGTTTTATTGTTTTCTCGTCTTCAAGTACTCAAAAATCTTTGGATGTAGAGAAGATGATTGAGAACCCAAACCCGAAAATCAAGATTCAAACGACCCACTTCGATTTCTTGAAGAACTTCAAGCGGTTCAAGTCTCTGGAGACCTCCTCACCGTGTGGTGTTCTGGGATGCTTCTTCCTAAGCCTCTGCTTGCTCTGTTCTCTATTCTTCATAGACTACAGAACTGTCACCGGCGGGATCCGGTTTCGTGGGCCCACCCGGTCTTTCACCACCATGAATGAATCTTTGTTGTTGGCTGAAGTGGATCGGAAATTAGTGGACTTTCTTCAAGAAGGTGGAAATGGCTGTGATATCTTTGAGGGAAGTTGGGTGTGGGATGAGAGCTACCCTTTTTATCAGTCACAAGATTGCCCATTCTTGGATGGTGGCTTTCGTTGTACAGATAACGGAAGGCCTGATTCTTTCTATACTAAATGGCGCTGGCAACCTAAAGATTGCAACTTGCCCAGGTTTTTTTCTTAGTTAAGATTATTGAGATTGATATGTTTTGATTTAGTTTTGATTAATTAATATTACAGACAATGTTGGGACTTCGTGTTTGACTTCAATTGCTATGTTTTACACCGTTATAGGTGTATTTCTTGATGTTGATGTATAGTTTCGTTTTTTGAACTATGGTAATTGCAGAAATGAACTTAATTGCCATAAACACACCAAGAGACACACCTATTTATGCATAGATTTTATGTTTGAGTTAATTTAATTAGTCATTTTAAAGTTGTGAATTTGTGAATTTTACTCTTACTCTTGTACTTTTATGCAGTCTTGTCTTCAAATTCCGAATGACAATACTACACTTTTTTCCTAACACAAAATACTTAGATTTTGTTGGAAAGGATAAATTTGTTGTTTATATTGTGTTTTAAGTAATTAAGTTTTCATGGATAAAGTCCGTGAATGTGATCATCCAATTTGGTTTCCCATTGAAATGGATTCGATTTGAAACATCATGAATCATATTCTGGATTGGATTCCCCAATTCTGAAGTCCATGGATCACATTGCGGATCTCTAATCCACTTAATTTCATCCAATCTCACCCAGTCTCCCCTTTGTCGGTAAGAGAAAAAAAACAGTTTCTTAACTTTCTGAGTATTTTGGAAACAGATTTGATGCAAAAAAAATGTTGGAAACGCTGAGGAACAGGAGGGTTGCATTTGTGGGAGACTCAATTGGAAGAAACCAGTGGGAGTCTCTTCTTTGCATGCTCTCTTCTGCAGTTGTTAACAAAAGTTCAATATATGAAGTCAACAGAACTCCAATCACAAAACATTCGGGTTTCTTGATTTTCAAGTTTGAGGATTTCAACTGTACAGTTGAATATTACAGAGCTCCATTCCTTGTGGTGCAAAGCCGCCCACCTGCTGGTTCACCAAAAGGGGTAAAATTGACTTTGAAGTTGGATCAAATGGATTGGAGCTCTAGTAAATGGAAAGGTGCAGATATTCTTGTCTTTAACACTGGTCATTGGTGGAATCATGAGAAGACCATCAGAGGGTAAGATTTCATCATGTAGTTATTTACATAATCTATTTTTTTGAAAGGAAAATAAAGTATTATGTGTTGGTACTATTTAGATCATTAATTTAATAGTTTTTTTATTGTTCATTAATTTCATTGTTCATAAAAAAATATACCTTAGTAAAATTAATCATGAAATGATGACCAATATAGGACTATAATGAAAGTGGAAACGTGTGACTGTTGATTCTTCCTGTTCAACCAAAAGTAATAGTTAAAGAGTGGCCACAGTGACTATGATTTAGTTTAATTTTACAACGCAGCCAGTCATTATTGTAATATTTTCGTAGTGATTAAACTGATTATTGAGGCCCTGTAAGAAAAAAGCCCAGTTATTATTTCATTACTAAAAAAGGTGCTGTATTTAAATATTTTGACCCAAAAATAGTTTTTTTTTGTTTCTAATTTTCATGTTAATGTTATTGTGTTCATTTGTCATCCTAAACTCGGCCATCGTTAATTTTCCACTCATCTTTTATCAATGCTCTGACCATTCGAAGGCAAAATACTTATTTGACCATTCACTTGACAGTGGCACTTATTTTCAAGAAGGTAGACATATTAAGATGAATATGACTGTGAAAGAGGCGCTTCATAGATCAATTGTGACATTAGTTGATTGGCTGGGGCGCGAAGTAAATACCTCCAAGACCCATGTTTACTTTCGTAGCTACGCTCCTGTTCATTTCAGGTTTGATTCTTATAGCTCATTTCTAAAATGTGAGTCAAATAATATGTGAAATTTTGGAGAAAGAGATTTTAAAAGAAATGAACTCTCTGGTTTGGTGGCTGCAATTTTGAGCATAGATTACTTGCTGGGGGGTTATGCTATGATTTTAGTAATGGTGGCATATTGAGAACATGTTTCTTACCAGTTTGGTAAGGTTTAGTTGGCTGAATTTTCTAAATGGAAACATATAACATTCATCTCAGCCATTTTACCTGATTTATTTTACTTTTTAGTTTGCCCCAAAAGTAAGTTATGCTTTTCCATCACTACCTATACTTCAGAAGAATTTATTTAAGAACACTACAATGAAGAAATTAGTGGGATGAGGCAAAACTGGAAATGCAGTTAACTTTGACTTGGTTTCTTAAAGTGGCGTCAAAGATAAATGAGACACTTTCCATAGCTGAGTACAGGATGATGGGAGTAAGAGCTTGTTTGGTAAAATTAAAATTGGCTTAATTGTGGAAGTAATGGTTGAAATATCTAAATTGACAGACGGTGGAATTACACTAATTATGTTTAAAGAAATTGTCCTAAAGAGGAGTAAAAGCGTTTGTGAATTTAAAAATAGCACTATTATGTTTTTATAATTTCCTTAATAGGAGTAATTAATGCCACATTTTGGTATTACCAGGCTTGAAATATGGCAACATTTTCAAGTTTGGCAGTAATTACTCTTATTTAGAGAATAAAAACATAGTAATCATATTTTGGAATTCTAAAGTGTTTTTACTCCTATTTCAGGAATTTTCCCTATTAATTAACAAATACCTACATACCTTATTAACAATGAAGTATTCCGCAAATTTTTTGTGGAAAGACGACAACAACAACAACATCCAAGCCTTAATCCCAAAAGAATTTGGGGTCGGCTAACATGAATCGATCTATGATATCAATGCCAAAAGGAGAAGACGGACAAGAAAGGGAAGAAAAAAAGTAAGATAAAATGAATAAATTAAAGATGAATAAATATAAGATAACAATAACACAAGAATATAAGAAAGAAAAAATAAAAAATAAAAGAGCATAAAAAAGCTAAAAGATAAAAATAACATACGAATATAAAAGAGAGGAAAGGTAGACACGGATGTGCGCCCTCCACTTTGCTCTCTCCAAAGTGATACTCTCATCCAACCCAAGAAGACGCAAATCAGTTCTGATTCCTCTAATTCAAGTCTGTTTGGGTCTTCCCCTCCCTTTCTTCTCTGCCTCTTCTCCCCACCTCTCAAGTCGTCTAACAGGTGCATCACTCGGTCTTCTACGCACATCCAAATTCATCCAATTCAGTATCTCCAACCCCATCTTTTACATTATTAACCAATTCAGTGCGTTAAATTTTAAAATATTACTCTGTATTTGCTAAAGGCTAAAAAATAAAGAAATAAATATTCCAAATAGGCACGAAGCTCATACACTACTTCCACTTATATAAGTAGAATGAGCTGAAGTGTACTACCAAACGGAGCTGAGCATCTGGAGTATTGTTCGTTTGTTCTATCAAGTTTTCTGGTGATCAATTTCCTTCAACTTGTTTTGTTTTTACCAGGTTTCCAAATAGGGACATGACTAAACAATTCTTTATTTTGTATTTGTTTGATATTTCCATCCTCTTACTAAACAAGACCATCTTTTGATGTAATGAGAGAACAGAGGCGGGGACTGGAGAACTGGCGGCAGCTGTCACCAGGAGAAGCTACCCGATCTCGGGACCTCTCAAATGCCGGCGTCCATGGAGTTCAACACGGTCATCAATGCTCTGTCACAAAAACAGGGTGTAGAGCTTCTGAATGTGACGGGCATGACGTGGCGGAGAAAAGACGCCCACCTATCTTTGTATTATTTGGGTCCAAACGGATTGGCGCCTCTACACAGACAAGACTGCAGCCACTGGTGCCTCCCCGGTGTACCCGATTCTTGGAACCAACTTCTTTATGCCGTCTTTCTTAAGCGGGACCGATCCAATCGTTCCCAGGCCATCCCACCGGATTCTGGCCCCTCCTAGCATTGGGGGGATCCCGTCTATGACGGGAAATGGAGAGTATGATTCATTTGATGACATAATTTAGAATTTATTTTTTGCATTTCTATGCACATTTTGTTGTATATCAAGGTGCCCCGGAATGTAATAGTTGCGAAAAGTAAGTTCACTTTAAGATAATGTGGATAATTCAATGTCATCGAAGATAGACTTGGAAATTCATTTTTGTAATGACAAATTCTCTATTTCCGTTAGATCATAATAAAAAACGGAGAAAAAATTTTCTAGAGTTGGTCGATCAAACATATTGATAAACGAACGTTTGAAATAATATTTCATCTAATGAGTGTCAAGATTATATTGGACTATAAAAGACTTGGAATGGTTCAAAATCGGGTGCTTAATACCGAGCATGTAAAACGTGTCAATTGAGAATGTCTTTTTGAACGGTTATTAACATCATCACATTACACGGTATTCAGCGAGACCCCACTAAAAATGTGTCGGTATGGTGATGACCATTGAAATACTCCTTCCGGCCCGGAAATATCTTCATACTTTCCTTTTTGGTTTGTCCAAAATTTATCTCATCTTTCTCTTTTAGCGAAGAATTTGTGGTTCACAATCATTTTTAGGAGTGGACTCGGGCCGGGCCACCCGGTCCGGAACCGGATCGGCCTGCTACTGTGCAGGCCCGGACCGGCCCGGTGAACCGGTTGGTTGCTCGGTTCGGGCCACCCGGCCCGGTGGGATGGCGATTCGGGCTCGGACCCTTCAAAAGGTGGCCCGGCCGGTTCGGGTCCGTGCCGGGCCAATTTATATTTTTTTTTTATTTTTTTTTTTTAGTTTTTGGGTTGGGCTGGATGTTTTGGGCCATTTGAGGTGGTTAGGGTTGGTTTGGGGGTGAGGGGGAGGGTTGGGGGTTAACTAGGAAAAGCCAAAAAAAAAAAAAATAGAACTGAGGCCCGGCCCGGCCCGGACCCGGGGGTTACCCGGGCCGGTTCCGAGCCTCCCCCTTCATGAACCGAGGCCCGGCCGGGCCCGAACCGGAACCGGTCCACCCCTAATCATTCTTACACATTTCTCTTTCCTCTTCAGTCTTCACAACTCTCCACCATACATTTTCCACTATCTTAATATGTGTGTCAATTGTACTTGTGAAGATAAATATGAGACGGAGGGAGTAGTAGCCTAGTTCTTCTAAAAAAAGGATGACACCCCATCCCTTAGGGCCCCCAACACGGATTGGACGGTACGTTGGCAGGATATAAATTGGACTATAATCACAATCTGACAGATAGAGAGTGAGGCTTTGTCCCCGGTACTTGCAGAGGTCTTATGCATTTTTTAGGCATAGTAACCTCTCATCGCAATTGCCGAGATTCGAACTCGGAACCTAACCCTTGTGGCACTCCCTCGATACCAGTTGAGCTACGTCCACCGGTAACCTAGTTCTTCTATTTTTTTTTTGATAAATAACCTAGTTCTTCTAAGAGTATATGAGAGGTGGTGAGATTATTAAAAGAGTATTAGAAAAGTGAATTTGTATGAGTGATACTCAACTGATGAAGTAAAAATAACTTACAATTATATAAATAGTAATGATGTTTTATTTTGGACTGAAATTTGCTGGCCTGGTCTAATCTGATTTGGTCTGAGCTGGTCTGATCCGGTAAATGTCTGGTCTATGTGTATTTTATAACTATGGAAATCTGGTCTGATCTGGTTCGTTCTGGTCTGAGACCGAAAACAACCAAAAAGAAAATATCCTAACTATTTTGATATGAGACAATTTTAGCAGGACGAGTCAAAATAAAAAAATGAGACCATTTAAACTGGATGGTTTATGATTACATAAAGGAGTTATATACGACTCTATATTTTTTTTTATGTTTGTGCCTTTTTAGTTTCAACAATAGATCAAAAGTGTAATATATTCGATCACACTTCTCAATTATATTGAGCATGTTTTTACTTGGACCGTAATTTGCTGTTTAAATCTGGTCTGTTTAAATCTGATCTGGTCTGGTCTATTTAAGTTCGGTCTGATTTGGTCTGAACTGGTTTGGTCTGTTAAATGTCTGGTCTCTGTGTATTTTATAACTAGACAAATGTGGTCTGATCTGAGCTAATATAATACCCGCGCATGCAATAACTATTTGCTTCGAAATAAACTGATCGTAATATACACATGTGAAGATAAAATAGAGTTGATGGCTTTTTGCAAATTTTAAGCATTGTTGGGATATTGATCCAGAGGTCCAATACCCGGATAAAAAAGGCCCAGGATACCCGGCCCAAACAATGAGTCCACTACCCTATGATGAGTAGATCCAATGAAGAATTCATACCGAACGGAGTTCGATCCCAGTAAAGGCCGGCCCAGAAAGAAGGTGTACCGAACGGAGTTCGGACTATATATCATACTTGGGCCAATTTGGCAGCGTCTTTAGCATGGTCCAACATCCCGTTCGAGCAACGGACAACCAGCAAGTGATCAGGTGCAATTAATGCCAGATTGTGACATCAGCAAGTGAAAACATGGATGACCAAGTCGGTGGAACAACAGCCAATCACCATAGAGCAGCCCATGCTCTCCATTAGTATAAATAGAAGGTTTAAAATCATTGTGATGGTTAACATTTCAATACTCAGGCTCTAGAATAGCATTATTACTCTTGTTTCTTGTATTAAAGCATTATTCCGACCTACCGATCCGAAATTTCCTTGTAATCAGACAGGTCAATTAATACAAGTGAGCTTTTGGATATTAGTGAGTTCATATTTTATATTTTATTATACACTTTGATTCTGGTCCTTTCCTGATATATCTAAAGTTCGTGTTGGGCTTTCGGATCTACGGGACTTACCTTCAACATTGGCGCCGTCTGTGGGAAACATTCAAAAAGTTTCACATTCAATTATCCTAAAAACAACTATTTTCGAAAATGGTCAGAATCAGTTCTTATCACACAAACGACGGTTCACGCCGTCACGGAAGGAGTCACACCCCGGGAAATCAAACCCCTCAGGGACAATCCAGCCGATGATCATATCCTCATTTTGATGGGGACTTTGTTATTCCTGAAGCTCTAAGAAGGAATCCTCAGGCCATGCGGGATATGGCCCAGGTCATGCAGCACATGGCAAACGAGGAAGAAGGAGGATCCAATTTTACAGGGGAAACTCCACGCATAGAAACGACCACATCGTCATCCCACTAGCATGCCCATCGGCATAATCGCCGTGGCGCTCCACCAGCAGCGCATCATAGTCCCAGTGACCGAACCCCGATCGGGTCACAAGCCGGGGGACCTACTCCTATTGGTCGTCATTTCCAGTACGCCGAACGGGATAATACCAGGGCCACTCAAAGGCATTGGGACCAGGAGTATACAGATTTGAGGGCTCCACCACCCCCCCTTTGACGGCCCAGGAGGAAGAAATGGCTGAAATGAGGAGGCAGATGAACGAGATGCGAGATCAGATGAACAGAGCGCCTGTACGACCTGCCCCAATTCAGCTCGGGATTACTTCCCCTTTCACTAGGGAAATTATGTATGCGGACATCCAAGGAGGTGCCAAACCACCGACCGGTCAAATTTATGACGGGGTGGGAGATCCCCATGTGCATTTGAGGAGTTATCAAGGGGGACTCATGCTACTAGGAGCACCCGAGGTTGCTATTTGCCGGTTGTTTTTTAGTACGCTCAGAGGACCCGCCCAGGAGTGGTTCGGGACACTGCAACCCGGGTCGATCAACAGTTTCGCCGAATTATCGACGTTATTCTTGGCCCAATTTGCTTCCAGTGCCAATCTGAAACGGCATTTCAGCTACCTGACCAGCGTGAAGCAGAACTCCAAGGAAACCCTCAATCAATTCTTAAAAAGATGGAGGGACGAAACTCTGACAGTGGGAAATATGACGGATGATACCGCCATCACCCTATTCACGAACGCTCTCCGAACGGGAGAGTTATACAAGGATTTGAAGAAGAATCCAGGTACAGCATATGCCGAGGTATTAGACAGAGCTCGCAAACATGCTGCCCTGGAAGAGGAGATAATGATCAGGGACAAGGTCGTTGCGCCTACTACCCCAATTAAGATGGCCGATCGGCTGGGTCCTAGCCCAGTGGCCGCTATACCTCCCAAGCAAGGTAGATTTACCCCCTGGTCCTGTCCGTGGCAACCATTTATCAGAATGAGAGGGACAATATTCCCCTTTCGACTGATTCTTCACAATTTATGGGAGCAGAGGAGTCTGCTTTTTGTATATATCATAACAGGAAAGGTCATGCCACCAACGCCTGTAGGGCCCTACAAACGGCCATTGAGGACTTGATCCGACGGGGTCATCTGGGCAAGTATGTGAATAAGGATCCAAGTGCGGTAGGCACTTTGAAACCGATCAGGAAACCCAATAGCTGGCGACGGGATGCCCAACGTGATGCCCAGCCTCAGAATGACGTATATATTCCCCCCAGGGATGAACCAGAGGGCTCGGGAGGCCCCGGAAAGAAACCTCGAATGGAGGTCAAGGTTATATTTGGGGGCGGGGAGACAGGGGATTCGAACGCCGAACAGAAAAGGTTCGAACGAAGTCTTTATGTGGGATCCATATCCACTCCCCCCAGAAGAAAGGAAGGACGAACCCAATCACGTTCGGGCCAGCTGATTTACCCAACTCGCCAAGCCCGCACAGGGATGATATGGTGGTGAGCATGTGCATTGACAATGCTTTGATTCGCCGAGTACTGATCGATACCGGGAGCAGTGTGAATGTATTGTATTTACAATCATTCGAGAAAATGGGTCTACAAAGAAGTTAGTTGACCCACCTAAGAACCCCACTGGCGAGCTTCACTGGTAATTGTATTGAGGCTGAGGGGACCATCCAATTGTTGGTTGAAATTGGGGACGAAACGCACAAGACATCACTCCAAATGACGTTCGTGGTGGTGGATATAAAATGTGCCCATAATGCCATCTTGGGCCGACCAGGATTGGAAGATCTGGAGGCAATAGCCTCTGTCCGCCACTCATGCATCAAATTCCCCACTGACACCGGGGTTGGGGTGGCCAGAACTGATCCGGCGACAGCCCGAACATGATACCGGGAGGCCCTGAAGCAGATGAACACCCGTGGAATGCGGGTTAACAGTATTGAGGTGGAGACCCACCGAACGGAGTTCGAGGCACATCCAGAACCTGCCACTCTCCTCGAGCAAATTGACC